TTACAAGATTCCATATCATCCTATTTTAATGTGTGTGTTTTATTTTTGTAAAATATAATTTTGTATTTGAAAGTTAAACATTTTTACATATTGGACTCATTTCTGTCAAATACTGTTTGTTAAAATCAGATCAAATAGGTGTTGTTGTAGTTGCACCTGTTTACTAAGGACTCACAGCAGGCTGATGGGGAAAAAACTCAAACTCCAATAAAAGTAATTTATCTTCATTTCTGCTTCTTTCCATGCTTGCCCTTATGAATTCACATTCAGAGATTAGAATGACATATCATTTCTGCAAGGACTCACAGGACCTCACACTTGTTGCTTTGGTCTCTGCATCATTTTTTATCATAGTTTTTCTTCCCTTCAGTTTACTATCTCCTTCCCCTGTTTCTGTATTATTATCCCTGAATCAGTTGTTCCAACTGGGATTCTTAGACATGATGCTTTGATGTCCTGCTTATGTCTTGTTTGGTCTCTCAGAGGGAACCAGCCAAACATAAGAGGGAGATAGGGATTACAGTTTGTGTACCCATCACAGATTTGGATTTATATTTTGTTAAAGATGATGCTTGAGTGGATTTATCTGATATAAAAGATTGGTTGGATGAAAAGGATCAGTACAATAAGTAAAGACAAGGTTCCATTATGGTGCTTAAAGGAGCAATATGTAACTCTAGCGTACACGTAGCCTTTAAAATTGGTACTTCAGTCCAAATTCAAAACATTAGAGAGATCTGTCTCCCCCACCCCCTCCTCCCTAGAGTCAATATTTTTACCACGTTTCTGGTCTTGTTGGAAAAATGCAGAGGCTTTTTTGGTCGGGTAGAATCAGTCAAATCTGAAACATTTTGCTTGCCCGCTTCCATCGCTGCAACACCTGTTGGTGTGTTGTGATAACTGGTCTCTTATCTGGTAAATCCAGGGGCGTCCAATATGCTGTTAGGGTACCTTGAAACTGCCTACTTCTCTGGTTAAAGTCATAGTCATTTAATGATTTAATTCAGGAGATATCTTACATGTTGCTCATTTAATGGTGAGCAACTTTAAAAGAAGCAAGACAACCACGGACACAAAAAAGAGCTAGAATTTCTAAAACATTTTCATCAACCAATTTAATTTTTTAAACATTTTGACAACCTGCAGATAAGGACCATGAAATGTAATTAAAAGCTCCAGAACAGCTTTGAAACATTCCATGTGAGTTTTTTGACCCAAGAAATTAACTCCTAGGTCTTTTTAATGCACAAATGTAAAGTGAAGAATAGTTGGCTTCAAACCAACCCTCTATCTAACATCCAGTTATTATACAGGATTAATTACCCATCAACTATGGGCAACACCTCATAAGCGTTGTGTGTTTTTCTGTAGTTGTTTTTTTCCTTAAATCTAATATACTTATCTGAAATTCCAGATCAGTTTTATTGCATTTATTTATTATATCCAAAAATCACAGGGTGATAAAGAGAAATAAATAATAGCAGAATAAGCAGATACACCCAACCGTGTTGCGCCAAAGGTCCCTGTGGAGGTCCTCGGGCAGCTGCCCAGAAGCGTCCACTCTGTGTGGACAAGTCCGAGGTGAAACGCTTTAACAATGAGTCACTTAGCCAACTGAAGCTTTGTCAAAGCAAGCTGTCATCTCCATACGCGAGGCCTAATGTATGAAAATCATCCCACAAACATTTTCCACACTCCATCGCCTACCTAATACTTTCCATCAAGGACAACAAGCAGGAAACATTAGAGAGGGGGACTCTGGAGAATTGATACAACAGCCTCACTTTGATTTTACAGTTTGAAATGTGAGCTCTTAAAAAACATGTTTCATAAACTTCATTTACATTATTGCTCTACTCCTTTAAAAGTATGTTTAACCAGCTGAGACACTAAGTGGTTAAAGAAAATATAATCCATCAAAGTAACTGATGGTGGGATGTTTTTGTCTTATAGTCAGAATGACACATTCCTTATTTGTGATTATTGCAAATAACACAGCCTTAAAAAATAAAACGGATTACTGGTACCAAAAGTAAGGACATCTCTTTACTGCTTCATTATTTTTCAATAAGTGGAATTGGAAATTTACTGCCATGGCAAAATCCCAGTTTTGGGGCCATCAGTTTCTTGAGGTTGGGCACAGAAACTAAGTTTCCATTGTTAAGGAAACGCATGCCTGAAGACACAGTCACACACGTTTACAGACGCGCACACACAGCTAGTGTTGAGCACACCTTTTATAACCCCAGTCAGGTCTTTTATGGTGCACAGGTGTCATAAATAACAGAATGAATATGACAGGTAAAAGAGTAAGACCCATCTGGAACACAGCAGCAGAGAGTCAGGCAGCCACGTTAAACCTTCCTGATCCTCAGAAGGTGTATGAGGTCACAAACGCTACCACCTACAAACGTCCAGCTCAGATGCAGGGAGAGGAAGTGCAGAATCTTTATGGTCCTATAAGTCCTGCTCTGTTGTTCTTGCAAGTCTACAGTTTGAATTTGTGTGAGAGGATGCAATGAAAGGTAGCTGGATTTGTGCGAAAACTCACCTTCAATTGAGGCATGTGCGTCAAACTAGTACACTTCAGTCATGTTAACCCCTGTCTGGCTGCTTCTTCAAAGGTAAGAGGATACGCTCGGTCGGGCATATAATTTTTGCTTTTGAGAGCTAGTGGAAAATATTTCAAGGGAAGCTTGGAGTGTTTAAGGAATTGTTCTAAAAATAGGGTCTCCCCCCCTCTCTCTCTTTAACTTTAACTCCTGGGCACCCCACTTTGGCTGTAACTCAAGGCCTCAAACCTGCTTCACTTTCTTTAAATAACACTTATTGATTCCTGCTACAGTCTGCTACACACATCTTTGAGGCTAAGTGCGTTTGTTTGTGTGTATGTGTGTGTGTGTGTGTGTGTGTGTGTGTGTGTGTGTGTGTGTGTGTGTGCGTGCATGCGTGCATCTTATAAAGAGCTTCACTATTTAACCTGGGTTAGAAGTAAATTTTCAGTCAGGAGTTGTAATTCAAATTCAAACTGGTCCATGCAGTGTGGATGGGACAGTAATGGCAGGATATAGCATATACAATATTTTTTTAAATGTTGTGTGTAGTTACAGATGGAATATAAGGTACCACTGCTTTTCATCAGACTGTCCCGTTTCCTTCGAAGCCCAACAGTTTCATTTCCCATAAAAAATGAAATATGACTCAAGAAGTCATGCTCACAAACGTAAGCTCCACTTTCCACCCTGTGTGCACTTTAGTAAAACACACACATACTGTTTGCAGCCTGCTGTATCTGCACATCATTCTACGAGGCTGCTCGGTGTCTGGTGTACTCGGGTCGCCTCTATTTCCACTGCCTGCATTCCTCTTCCATCCTCCCATAAAGCTATAACATTCTCTCCCCTGCCTCACTTTCTACTCGACTGTTGAGGTACATTATTAAAATGCACAGTTTCATGCCGCCTTTGCTTTATTGAAGATTTATTTGTGCCATTTCAACCCTGCTGTTTGAATTTATTAGCGAGATGTCAGACAAATCTACATTTATCTTCTTTAATGTGTCTGTCACAGGCTTTTGAGAGGCGACCTAATACCTTGTGAGAGGCTTCTGAGGAGTTACTAGTATCTCTTTGACATTATCCATTGCAAACACATGAGACTCACCCTGAGGTGAAAGGCTCTTGGCTATGGCTTTATGCAGTTTGCTGCTGATCTCTGAAACTATTAATCTGATAAATGGACACATGAGTATCCGGTCTGCTCCTGGTCTCTGCCTGCTGGAGAACAGTGAGACTATTGAAACCAGAGAGGGCGACTGAAGTTAGCCAAGGTTTTAGACAGGGTTCGAAGTCTGTTTGCCTGTTTCAACAAAACAAGTGTTGCAATCTAATCCTTGCATTAAGCAAATCCCAGTTTTGCAACCTTAGGCAAATTGCAGAATAAACAGGAGCGAGGGCCCTGTGTTCAGGTCGACGATGTAAGTGCTGGGTTCTTGATGACTTGAAAAGGGACGAAAGGCATAAGCAGAGGGGAAGGTAGTTAAAGGTGGGAGTTACTGTAGGACGGGTGAGAAGTGGTGAGGATGGGGTTTTGAAGTAACCTGAGAAGAAGGAGGCATTCCTTGCAGGGCAGCTACATCTGCGGGCACGATTATTTGCTCCACATAATCTAATAATTTCACACGGCTTCTGAAACCCCATTTATACATACAGTAGGAGAGAAACAAGGGGTTTCCCTTTTTAGAAAACAAGAGCTGACTCATTTTAGCACATTATCATCGAGAAAAAGTGATCTATAAGGACACTTGATATAAGTAGCAGGTCTGGACTTGTGATATTTCTATAAGCTACCTAATATCAACCCACCATAAGCAAGAACTTGGTACAGTGGGAAGGAAAAACATTAAACAGGCAGAAACCTTGAGCAGAACCAGACTCAATGGTAGACAGCCGTCTGTCACTATAACAAGTTGGCTGAGAAACAGATGGACATTATTTGAAGACAGACAGACAGAAGATAGAGGGAGACAAGTGGACATGGAAACTGTTGATGGTGTTTTTTTTAAAGCAGAAAACAGATATTAGACTTCAACACCACTTTCGATTTATATTACAGCTTCCTCACCCTCCTCACATTGATGTAACCGACCCAGGTGGAAGTTGCCAGCGTAAACTCATCTAAGCATGTACTGCTATGTCTCATACTAGGGAGTGTTTTTCTCACATCTGAGTTGAGTAATATCAGCTGACACAGCCCACAACACTCCATCCGTCTCTCCCATCCCGGTCTCAGTAACACTTGCGCACTATGTCATATAAGAGGAATCTGCAGTGCACCTCGTGTACGCAACTTTTTATTGCTTTGCATCAAGGCCCAGCTTATATCTGTTTCAAGTGAAACATATTATATAATCTGTTCATGTCATTTTCTGAAGTAACATCCTGTTCATTCCCAACAAGCATGATGTCATGATTTTTAATATTGTATCCACTTTCATGCAGGTGTAGCAGTGCTTGTGTCTCCGGATATTCCCCTGCAGCTCGGGGTGGACAGCAGAGAGCAGTTCTGCCTGCAGTCACTGCCCAGTATGGAGCGCCTGCCTTTACAGTACACTGTGTGTGTGGCCCCTGATGTGAAAACTGTACACCAGCAAACAGTTCAACAGCTCCCCCAGCACAGGAGGGAGCTGCCCAACATGAAGACACTGTGGTAAATTTGGTTTAGATTGGGAATCCTGAGGTTTGCAGCTTTCCCCGGAGCACCAGGGACTTGTTTACCAAACGCATTTCCACAACATTAAGTTAAGGGTAGCTAATTTTCCCCTCAAAGACATCCTGTATCCAGGGCAAGTAGTAATAGCTTACAATAGTACATGGACTTTGTGGATGAACAACTCTGATTGGTCCAGTATAGTAACAGTATTGTAAAGTGTTACCTAAAATGCTAAAGCTGAATTGCAGTTGGGATAATAATATAAAGTTATTAATTATAATGTTATGCTGTGACAAGTGTTATTGATTTAAATCGCAATGGTTTTACATCTTGAATCCTGCATGTGTAAAACAGTCTTTTCACACAGCAGCCAAATCATTTGTTGAATCTTCATGAATGTTTGTGGAAAAGCAGAGGGCATTAGGCTGGAAGTAACTTTGGACTACATGTTCCAAATATTTTTGATATAAGGCTTATAACTGAATTAAATCCAGGTTCTCTCTGTGTGTCTGACAGGCTCCCTTTCTGGAAGATGCTTGCCAGCGTGGATTCTGGGCCGAAAGTGGAGAGGGAGCTGAGGACCTTCTCTAACCGTCTGAGGAGACACCAGCTGGGGGAGGGAGTCATCAGCCTCAATGAACATTCCACCACCCTCCTATCTGATATGGTACGAGCTCCCCACTGCACACCATATTCTGTACTTTGCTGTCTCTGGCACCAGATTGAAAACCCAAAGGCTGAATGAAAGCTCAAAGAGGAAGAGCCAATGAGTACAGTTTGATGTCAGATTAAAGCCAAGTGATAATAGCTGGTTATAAGCATACAGCTGTTTTTGACCATCTTAAAAAAACATATTTTGTTCCTTCAGAGGCTGTAATAAATGTCAGAACCCCCTCCTACTTGCTCAAGGTGAATTAACTTGATTGTATCCTGCTGCGTTCTCACATCAGCTCACTCAGATTTTCTGCAGAAGAAAAAGCTAGGGTGCTGGAAGAAGAAGCTCTGGATAAAGTCTGAGTGAAAAATTAGGTTGTTTGCGTTCACACTTGCAGCTCACCTGAAAACTTAAACTTACATTTTTGAGGTATTTTGTGGAAGTGTGAAAGACCTATTTGTTATAGTAGTGTTTAGTTTGCCCTAGAAAAATAGCAGATTGAGCAGATAAATCCAATCTTTTTTTTTGGAACATAGGTGAACAAATTTGATTATTTAGTATACACTTTTAAAGCCCACTGCTATGCATTACTCTATTTGCGACAAGTATCCTTTGTTAACCTTCTCTTCTGCACCCAATTCTTGCACTGTGTAAGAGTAGACTCCTGTAATCCTCCTCTTCAACCATCTGGGCTGTGAGGCTGTGGGTTCATTGGTCAGAGGCTCAGAAATGGTCAAGGAGAGAGATGAAAGTGAATTCTTAAGTTGATCTCCAGAGAGCTGGAACAGAGAGGGAGGGAGGACAGCTTCACTGAAATGTGAAAATGTAGAAAAAAGGTGGTTGAAGGACAAGTGTGCAGAGCATTCTACCAGCAGGACATGTTTGTTATTATGTCCTAAGTTTGTAATGTGTTCAAGGTGATCTTAACTTATGTTGCAATAATTTTCTCCATGTTTAGTGTTTTTCATTTTTTTTTTTTTTCAAGAAAAGGACAGGTGCTTTTCTTCTCTTTCTCCCATGTCAGTGTTTATTTCTATTTTACATTTATCCAGTGACTTTCCTTGAACCTTGCTGGGAAGTGCCTGGAAACAAGACCAGCATGGAGTACAGTCAAAGTGGATCTAAGTCAATACCTGGTTGTGTTCCATTACAAAACAAATATAGCTGAGAGAAGACAAACAGAATCTCTCCTCACTGATCTCAGGTTGCTCTTAGTGGTGTAGCTGTGGGATGGCAAAGAACTGTAAGTGTTGAGATATGTCAGGATTTCAGCCAAGACTAACAGAGGTAGGTGATCATGATGCTGCAGTCAGACCTGAAAGAGAAGGGGGAGGTGTTTTCTTTTTACTAAATCTGGAGCTCAGGTTTAGGTATCTCATTATATACACTCACAAAGTTTTAAAGTCATGGAAGTATATAAAAGGGAAGAAAATGGAAGGAGTAACATGTCAGCTGGTGGATGTCATTTGGTGAACAGGAGTTTCCCATAACCCTTAGTTTTCTGGTAAATCAGAGATATTAAACACCAGTTTTGGCTCAACATCACCCACTTCCCTTCAATAAGTGCCATAAAGAATCACCCGAGCGTACAGTGCTGCATGGAAACTCCAGAAACGTGTAGGTGTTCAGGCCGTTTAGAAGTGTGACTGGCAACAATGACCGTCTGTTTCAACTAAGCTTCTCTTTCACTCCAGTTTTTACAAGTATTCATAAATGATCAGTCACACTGCAACCTTTCTTTTCCAGTCCCCGTATTTGTTTGAAATGACGCGCAGAGATTGGAAAATGTAGGTTACGAAAGTCTGCCGTGTTATTGAAGTCATTACTGAAACGTTTAGAAATGCAACTCTTTAGGAAGCTAGCAACTTTTGTCACTCATTTTTGGTCCGTTTTTAGTTTTTGACAAATCTGGGGAATTCACATTCTAATTCAACTTGAGGAAAAAAAAGATAAATGACTTTATATCAGGACAAAACATGTTCTTAGAAATGACATAACATGTGCTAATCCACCCTTTATTCCCACAGCAGGTTTCTCCTCCATGGGTCAATGGGTTACTTCACCATATAGATTCCAAAGGATTATATACATTATTGGTTCTGACAGAGGTCATGTTGTGTCAGCTGCTACTGTAGCAACCATTGCATAAAATCCAAAAGCTACCTGTCCTTATATGGAATAAAATCTTGTACCAGTTTACGGTGATTTCAGGTGTCCATTGGTGCATTATATTGTTAAAAGTAAATTATTTAGATGCAATGTTGTCACTTATAGATCTAAGTATTGTTAGATGATACTGTGCTCATAAAGTGTTATCAGGACTGTAATGCAGTTAAAACAGTGCATGTTTCTGTGTCTCTGCAGGACCACGACTACCTCAACAGCAGAAGAAGGGGGATGTCCAAGAGAATGACCAGGGACCTCCCACTTGTCAAGCTTCTTAACATTTCCATCACCCTGTCCCCTTTCCTGGCCGTGGACACCAAGCAGTTCCACACCTCCCTCATGGACGGCACCGAGGCCTATTGGCTCAGTCTGCCCTCAACCCCTCAGGGACAACTGGTGAGACCAGGGTCATGATCCTGTACAGCACTCAGCATGTGCTCACAGTCCTCAATTATATTTGTGGTTGTTGCAATGGCAGTAAAAAATATTCCTGCAAAGTAAGGAACTCCCTACTTCCTTTACTTTGTGAGTGATTCATTCATGGAATCATATTCAAAGTCTGAAATGTTGAAAAAACTCAACTCTTTAGTAAAAGAAACCAACACCAAAGCTTTCCAATGTTGACAATTTCAATCCATTCACAAGCTGCACTTTGATAATGAGCAAGCAATGTGAACAAAGCCTAATCCAGAAAATGCAGTTCATCATTTATAAGCATTTATAGAATAACTGTGGTGTTAAAATCTTTGTCATTCAGGTCCCTGTGATGAGTCAGTGGCAAGGGAAGTTCTGTGTAAAGCTGAACATCACAAACCCAGGAGCGGTGAGCTGGTTTCTGGACAGAGTGGGATCCCTGCAGGCCCATCTTGGGATGGAATATGTCCTACTGGAGGGGGGTGAAGGGAATCTGTTTGAGGAGCAGGGACTGCGATCGCCACAGGCTCTCAGTGGAGACAACTACATTAGCCTGCTGGCAGATGTGGCCACGAGGATAGGAGACACCACCATCGTGACAGCAGGGACTCGGTATGCCCTTGATCATATTAGTAATACTTCCCCAAAAGCAACTTACATGTTGGGATAGTTTGCATTTTGAGATAGTTCAACCTAAAGCATTGAATTTAAAGCATGTTTTTTTTATATAAATGTTTTTTGTGCCTCAGGTCCAGCCACAAGCCTTTATTTGTGAGATTGACCCCCCTGCAGTCGGACTGGAGTCTGATGGGCCTGAAGGGCATCATTCCCTCCCTGCTGCACCACACTCTGCTGGGATACAACTTTCTCATTCCTGATGCAGTAGGTAATACCACAGCCTATGGGTCACTTTTCTCACCTTTAATTGCACATAGCAAGACTTTTTCAATGAGGTCCTTTCTATCATTATTCCTTGTGGGTTACAAAACACTCCTATATGATGAAATCAAATCTGGAATGCTCCTAATACATTTCAAACAAATCCACAGAATCAATCACACATTATATTCCATTACTAACAAAGCATGAACTGTATATTTAAATAAATCATAATCTTAATAAATACTATCTCAGTAGTCCATCTTGCTGTTCCAGGGTTCGATATGTTACGTTATGTGTTTTACAAGTAGAAGTGGTCAAAAAATGTAAACAACCAATTGTATGATTAGCTAATATGTGATTGTTAAGTTGTTTAAGGAAAAATAGCCATTCTTTTATTTATTTATTTATTAAGAAAGGTTATTGTTGAGCTGATTTTCACGATATTACAGAAAATAAGTCAGAATTATTTATGAAGTGGACTACAGAGAACATACAAACAAGCTGTTTATTTAAGTCAGGATTTTTAAAACTTTAAGATTCAGTTGAATATCTGACATTGGTAGTTATGTACATGACATAAAGCAGAGTAGTACCAGAAAACCTGCATCAATTGTTTGATTTTAGTTCAGAAGATGAAAAACATAGGAGGAATTTTAACTTTAAGCGTTAGTTAACACTGACCACCTTTAAAACAGATGTGTATTTCTACTGTTGGAATCAAAGTGTGGAATTCTTTAAATAATGATTTGAAGAGCTGTGTGAGTATATTTCACTTTAAGAAAATGTACAAGGAGGGAATTATTAGACTGGTGGAAATTGGCAGCTAGTGTGTTTTTTAATCTCTATTAATGTAGAAGTGAAGTCAATGACTGAAATAGTTTGATTTTCTATGTTGCTGTCACAGTGGTTGCTAGGTGATTGTAATTTGAGAGACCATCTAGTGATCTCTTGTTCTTTTTTATTGAGTAAGGGGCAGATAAAATAAGATTGATTCTCCTCCCTGCTTACTTCCAAACATGGATTGTAATAAAATTGTGATTCTTTTTCTGTGAAGGGTTGTGAGTATTACCATGTGTGATTTTTTTTTTTTTTTTTTTAACTGATGGATGGTATTGGTCAGGTCAAATGGTCTTTGCACTCAGTAAATACATGATATATTATGGGATATTTAAGAAATGTAAATCTTTTGAGCCAGTCACTGCCAGTTGCACTCATAAATAGTTATTATTTAACATGTTATCAACTGACACCTGAGAAGAATGAGCAGAAAATTCTAGCATCTTCCGACATTTTACCAGGGGTATTGATCTGTCATTTGGTGAGTTTTCAGTGTGTATTGAGTCAAACATTAACTCTTTTGCTTCCTGAGTGGACAAAAATCTTAATATATGGTTTGTCCAGTCTTTGCAGGTTTCAGATGAACAGACTGGCCCACATCTCACACCTCACATACAGGCTTTCCACTTCGATATCTTTGCGTTATCTAATTTCTAGAGCCTGCAAGAATTTGGTACCTATTCTGAACTTTTAAACTACTGTTTCTTGTTTTTTCTCTTTCTCTCTCTCTCCTTCCAGGTGGCTCTCTGTCTGGAGAACTGGTCACTGATGAGGAGTTGTTCATTCGTTGGCTGGAGATTGCAGCCTTCCTCCCTGTCATCAGTTTCCACACACCACCCTGGGTTGTCGGAGAGGATCGGGTATACAAAATAAATACTAACATCAAAAAACACATTTCAAAACAACCCGGCGCACCTTGTGTAGCCTCTGTAACAAATATACATTTCACAACTTTATAACTAGATTTTCCGAACGAGAGATCAATTGAGGTGAAGTGTGAATGCTGCCATTTCATTGTTAATTGATCATCCCAACTTCTCGCTGAGTGGATACAATTGATTAATAATAAAAGAGGGGAGAGTTTATTGACCCAGCAGCCTCTCTTCAGGTGTAAGGGTTGGTACTGCAAAGTTCCCTCTGGTGTGTTTTCATAGAAGCATGAGATCTGGTCCATCAAAACCTCAGACCTGCAGGGTACACAGAACTAAACCCTTTACCTCTCTGCTGGAAATCAGAAGTGAACTGTTTTACTTAAACTCCTGGAAAACAATGCTTCAATGTCTTAGAGTCAGGTGACAGATATTAATACTTCTGAAAACGTGGGAACTGGAGTCTTGAACAGAAAGCTGCTTTTAGAGAGGCTGAAGGCTATTTTTTTTCCATTCCCTTCCTTTCTTTTTTGCTCAATGGGAATAGCGATGGCTTGGCCCCCTCCTGACTTCACCTGTGGTTAAGAGTCCATCTGTTCTGCATTACTGTCCTTCATCGAGATTTACAGCTCGCTCTCACTCTCAAGAGCCACTTCGGCAGGAATGATAATGAATTTGAGGACAAGTCTTGGAAAAATACTTTATTGTGGCAATTAAGATTTCCATGAGTAATTGACAAGTGTGACAGAGCGGGAGTGATCGACTGCCTTTTTTTCCACAAGGACAGAACTGAGGGAGCAGAATATATTGGTTGTGACTTGAGTTGCGTGACAAAGATAAAAATAGGCCTTTTGGACAGCGAGACATTTGACAGCAGCAATGTTTTCCATTTTGGTCTCTCGCATGGCCTTAAACGTATAAACTCAGATAAAGTGAGACCTCAAGGGATTCTCAAGGAAAATAGACTCCGACATACAATACATAAGTCTTTTTTATTCATTTTACTGTAGTTTAAATGTGGGGCACCTTTATTTCCAGAATGTGTGCTACTCCAGTCACGGACAGGTCACAGCAGCGACCTCATCGGAATCAAATAGCAATAAAACCTCAAAGCCACACACACGCCTGGCTTCTCAATTAGAGAACCATCCACTCACGATCAGGCTGTAACTTCAAGCTCATTCCTACAAATGTTCTCTGTCCCGACTTGTAAAAATACATTTTTTATAGATGCGGTCAAGCTTTGTTTTTGTCTTGGGACACTGAAAAGGATGTGACCCTTTCAGGAATGCTGAAGCAGTTTGTCCAGAGGGAGACAGGAGGAAGACTTGGACAGTGTAAAACTACTGAGTCAACAATGGTTAGCTCAGGCTCTGTCTGCGTCTTAGTGCAGAGATGGCACAAATGTCTTTTGCAGGCCTGATTGTCAATAGTATTTTGTATCCTTGAATAGTTTTGGCAGATGATTGAGTTAAGGAAATGACTTTTTTGTGTGTGTTTATGTTTCTCAGTTGCTCTAGATTTCTTTAAAATATATTTGGCTGTATATTGATAACAGTCGCTCCAACTGAAAGAAAAATAAAAATCACAAAATGTCTGATAGTGACCCTGAATGGAGTTTATCATTATCAAATTTAGAATGTTTAGCTGTAATCCTCATTATGTTTGTTATTCTCTCCCCTAGTTGCTTAACTTGACTCGGACCTACATAGCGAAGCACCAGAGGGATGTGGTACCACTGATAAAGAAGTTTGCAGAGGAGTGGCAAATGACGGGAAACCCCATCTACCGGCCGATGTGGTGGCTTAGTCCTAGTGACCCCATGACCTTCACCATCGATGACCAGTTCCTCATCGGGGACGAGGTGACTTAATGATGTTCTGATGGGGAAGGATTTAGTTTCTTGGCGTCGGATAGTGTATCAACTAACCCCCTGGCAGTAACCTGATGTTGCTTGCCCATTAACCACCACTCCGTTACATCTGAACTTGTTTGACTGTGCTGTGTATGTGTGTTTCCAGGTTCTGGTGGCTCCAGTGGTGGAGAAGGGGGCAGTGCAGAGGGATATATATTTACCTGACGGGGGCTTTCAGTGGCAGGACAGCCGGAACGCCCAGGTGTTTGATGGGGGGACGTTCCTACAGGACTACCCTGTGCCCCTGGAGGATGTGGCTGTTTTCTTACGGAGAAGCTGAGTCACGTAACTGATCCATTGAGTCACCTGACCTATCCTGAAACTGTTTTGAATCAAATTCTTTTTTTGTGCTGTTCTCAACTTGCACTTTTCCACTAAAGACCATTAACCCTGTCTCAAGGCCCTGTCTTGAGATGAAATGTAGAAATATTTTTTATACTTGCACTTTACAGTTCAAAATGATTTTTGTTTTTTCCTTCATGTCTTTTTCACCTTTTTTAAAAATGTTAATCGGTTTTACCTCTTGGCTGATTTGTTTCCGGACTTTTTGAATCTTTTCTGCTTTTGTATGTATGTAAGTTCCGGAGAAATCTGTGCGTTTACATACTGCATTTTTTTTTAAGTCTTTAATTTTTTTGTTGTTGCTGCTGGCTCTCTTGATATGGAGGAACAAAGCAAGCCCCTTGTTTGCTTAAAAAAATCTGAATCTCTCAAGAAGACCAAACGAAGATAAAGAAGGACAACGGAAATTATTTGAAAGGGTTTTTTTTCTGGGGGAAATGCTTATTGGGAGAAAATTAGCTCACACATAGCTTTGTTCAGAGGCTGACTAACCGTGGGTACTGTATGTCTTGTTAACTTATCAGAAAGGCTTTTACTTGAACTTATCAAGCCATCTGGCTGATATTTTATGAATGTACCTCAAGTTATGGTTTTTCACTACTTTACTTAATACAGTCAACAACCTAACCCCTTAGCACTTATTTTTAGAGTAGTTTAACTTATTTATCAACATACCACTTTGTTGGACACGTCTGAATGTCCCTAAGTACTGTAGGGCAGAAAGAGTTTGAGGCCAAGCCACTGTAATTGTAACTCTGGCTATATTTAATTTAAGATGAGCTATTACCTTCTTACTAACCTGCTGTAGTATCAGCTTTTAAAGAAGCTGCTCACTTTCTTGATGTTGTGGTGATGGGCCCTCATCTCATGTGATCCAAATTAAGTTCGACATCTAGCCTTGTTGACGACACCGCAAAAGGTTGAAAGGAGATTTTTAAAAGGTAGTAGGCCTACTACATGGTGGAGAGAACAAGATGACAGATACCACTCTCAGCCAGTGCTTGAATGTTGAGCTACTACATCCAGCTGGATCAGCACAGCGCTAAGCAATCTGGAAGCTTTTAGCTGCTAGCTAAGACACATCTGCGAACAGCTAGCATGGTCCACAGCTACACTTAACCTACCGAAATGACCTAGATTACATCTCATCTGTTTTATCTAAAAACAAAAGATAAAAGTTGTTATTTTTGCTTTGTATGGACATTTCCTCAAGTTTCAAGTTTTTAGGCTAAGTTTGCTAACCATCTCCTGAGTGAATTTACCAACTCCTGGCTGCATGTAGATATCATAAGCCCTTTTCAGAGTCTGATTACATGACATTACGTCTTTGTACATTCATATTGATTCTGCAGTGGTGTTATATTGGTGTCCCAGTCTGTGAATTAACAGTGCCAGCATGTTGGGGAAGCCTGATGTGTAGAGAAACAGTGGAAAATCTACACACACACACACACACACACACACACACACACACACAGCACTGCTCTCCCTCGCTGACTCTGCCGATCTTGCCCCTGTAACGCCTCTGTTACTACCTCCAGAGGCAATAGAAGAGGGATTACTGCACCCCCCCGATTACGACTCTGTGACATTCACAGTGAAGGCGAAAGGAATGTAAATATCGCGCCTTGATTGGTCTGAATAGGGCTAAGAGACAAGAGAGAGCTATCAATCTTTTCATTAGTCTCACAAGAAAGCAAGTAAATGTGTAACCTATTTGCAATACATCAATAAGATACTCTCAAATGCAAAAAGTGTTTGTTACAGCCATCTTGGATTTTTCAGACAGAGTTGAAGCATTAAGCCTAGCTGACTGTTTAGTCACAGAGGTGCAGTGGCAACTTGTTATCAATCCTGATGTGTTACTACATGTCTGCCCTTTACTTAGCTTAACTATTTGGACAATTCTTGACCTGCTTTTGTTTAGCAGAATTATGGTTGATTTTTTTTATTTGACTAAACACAAGCAAATCTTAAATGAGACCACTTATTTTGACATTTAACCCTTTTCAACCCAGCAGACACAAAAGTGTATTCACTTTTGTCCCATGAGTGCTGCTGTACAGTTAGTTAGCTAATTTTGCGCTTTGTTAGTAAGCTAATTTTTGTATATTGATTTGTTTTTCAAAACCTAAACCGGCCAGCATTGCTGATACAGACTGAGACCTTATCACATAGTGAATGCTTTACCGCTTTGGTCAATTTACTTTACTGTATCACCTCGAAACACTCAGGTCTACTGAAGCTTATAAAATCACAAAAGTCTTAGTGCAGCGTAACATGTTGCTAAACATTGACGTCTTAAACTCTCCTAGAGCTGAATGTACAACAGACAAACTGTGATTTCCCAGCCGAGCCCTTGGTGTGAGGAACTTTTCTAGTTCCGGATCTAATGCTTTTTATGGAATGCTGTGGTATGTTCACTTATGAGTTACAGGAAAAGCTTTTGATGTGTTATTCCGTCCGTCTATGGACTGAGCGAACCATGTGCCTTAAATGCCACTCTGAAATCTGGACAGCACAAGTGTCTGGATTATTGCAGTATCAGCAATGTACATATTACGATGACTGTGCCATTATAAGTGTTTTCTATTCTGTAAATCAGAGAACTTAGAACAAAAAGTTGTAATAAAGTTTACATTTTCTTACTTCACTACCTCAAGTTCTTTAGTTTTATTTGGGTGCTCTTTATTTACCAGATTGGAAAATATGCATTGGTGTTAATGTCTGCAGGGAATCATTGACCATGCAGTTAATGGATGTAACCACAGAAACGTCTTCCCTTGGTTTGTCTACACAATTTTTTAAGCCTTCTACCGCATTTTTGCAGCTGTTAAAATTTTGTGAGACCATAAGTTACCATAATATATGAAACCGACAAGAGCCAAGCTTTTCAATTCTATTGAGACTAAGCTCTTGGCTATTTAGCTAGCTATCGAACAAGCTAGTTGTCATTATGAGTATTTTTGTTGTTGTGTTGTTGTCCAAACTAATTTGTCAGTTAAGAGAAGCTAATTAGAGAGCATGTGAAAAGTAGTCTAATCTTGGGTTAGAGAGAGACAAGTAAATGACAGTAATACAAAATTGCCATCTATCAGTCACAACAAATAAAACAATGTATGACACTGTGCTAATAAGCTAGGTATATTGAGTGGAGATGGAGATTTCTGCTAAATTGTGCAAAGACTAAATCCTCCCAGCAAAGGATTTAGGATCTAACACCTAATCTCTAATGACCCTTAATAGAAACAGAGGAATATGAAAAATGTATAAGTGTAAATCACTTAAATCAGTTTTCTTACACATGTGCAAGCTATGTGAGTTCATGTGTGTATGCGTGTGCAAGGCTCTTTTTATTAACATATCTCCTTCTTCTCATGTCATAGGGTCTATGTCTTCATATAAGCATGCTGACCACCAACGTCTCCACTAATTCCACTTAAACCTAATAAAAGTTATTTATAGCTCCGATGAGCACGTGCAGGGAGAGTTTCTCAGGGGAATCACATTCGGCTCAACCTCCGCTCCTCTACTTTACCTTCCTCTCCTGCTGCCCCTTGGCTGAGTTCCACCTTGGGGCCCCAGGACCCTGCTCCTTTAGCGCACTTAGACAGGTGCAGCTGGCCACAGACATGCACTGTCCCCCCATGCTCAGAGCTCGGCCTCTCCCTTTACACCCTTGCCTTAATCATTTAGATTCAGATTTAAAAACCCAAGGTTCACTGCAGCATTAAACATTAACAAGGAACACTACAGTAGTATGGCTACATACTTAAGTAAGTAAAGAAGTAAGTGATAAAGACCTGATATGGCTCTGCCTTAGAGGACAGCAAAGGTTAGAGATCAAATTTGTGAACAAATCCGAAATGACCTTTAACATAACAAATGATTTTTTTTTGTTTTGTAAATGTAGTTGACATATAAAGTAGTTCATATAGTTTAATGAATACTGTTATTTCCAGAAATTAACATAAATAAACTTCCTCCTTGATCAGTGAACAATAATAAGTTTGTTATATGTTTTCTATTAATCAATTGAATGTGTATGGTGAATGCTCTCTGTGAGGTCCACTTAAAATTGAAATAATGGCACAATCAACTCCTGCAGTCAAGACACCCTTCCTCAAACTAACATTTAGCTTCAGGACACAGCAGTCCAATTGTTTTTTCCCAATCGCTAAATCAACATTTAATCCAATTAGTTTGGGGCATAACGGGGCCTTACGTAAGCAGCCCAGCAATGCAGGAAAAACAAATTGTCCTGCCAAAACCTGAATCAAGAATGACACCAATGATCTGCATACAGTAGCTGTAATGAAAACAATGTTTGCTCCACTGTTAACATCTCCCTATGATTACCACTAGACAAAATGGGAGGCATCCTTACTCCTGTGTGAATGATAACCTTATAAAAAAAGAGGAGAGGCGACATTGACTCCTGTCTTTTCTTTGAGATTGTTGTGGAGCAAGTGGCACATGAATTAAACTGGTGACAAGCGGAGGCCGCTGATCTATCCCAAAGTCTACTTTTAGAAAGTGCAAGTCAAGGTTTTAGGTTTCAGTGTCTGCTCTTGAGTGAATGGGTTTTCCAGCTTGCCAATTAGGAGTACATTTTAAAGGCTTGTTGTCCTGAAGCCAGTCTGGTAAGGTCTGTTAAAAATTGCTGTATGAATTTGTTGTAGTTTGACTTTTTTTTGTTTTGGATGGAGACGATACTATTTTGTGTCTTTGTGTGAAAACTTATCAAAATGTTCTTAACGCACAGAACCTAAGGACACACCTGATAATTTGAAAAAAAACAAAAAAACAAATATATATATATATAAAGGGCTGGCTTTGATGGAGATCCTTTTTTCTGAATTGACCAAACTGCAGGTTCCAAGAGTGGATGGTGAGTAAGCAGACCTCGGCAAGGCAGCATTGAAATGTTAGCCTGCTATCGGAAGCCGAGGGCAGGGTGACATCAGGGCGGGCGTACCGTTGTGGAGGTGTGTTTGTGTGAGAGGGAGAGAGAGAGAGAGAGCTAGAGGGCCCTCCTTGGATATTTGTCACCTCAGCCATGCCTTTAAGTGTCTTCCTGTTTAATTTAAGTTATTAGCTGAATATCCCTCCAAGCAGCACCAGTGGGGGGGGGAGACTTTCTGACACCCTCAGAAGCGGATCTGTTCTGGGTTGCTGCCAATTGAGCCCAACCACCTGCCCACATGGCAAGCTACAACTTCCCTTCGATAGAGTGAACACTTAGCTAAGGAAGGAAAGATCCCATTTTCACACTACACCAGTTTCAAGAGGTATCAAAATGTTATACCTAAGAAAAACAGGTAAAGCTATGACCTCAAGATAACCTTATGATGCAGCTGATGGATTCATATCCAAAATAAGCAGGCGTTAAACTATTATGATGGTGTGAAGTACATGACCTTTTTTGATTTACCGAGCTCACGGTTGAAGAAGATGGGTCATCAAGGCAAGTAAGTAGCAACTGTTAGCCAATGCTTGCGATGTAACTGAAATCTCATATCCCAACAACTATTTGTTCGATGGCAGTAAATTTGGTATACAAATCACTCATGCCCGGAGTATGACTCCATAGAACTCTGCTGTTCTGCTGCCTTTTGCCCAAGTGCCACCATTTGGTTAAAAAACAAATTTTGCTTAATGTCTGGACAACTACAGGGTAAAGTGGAATTAAATACATACTCTAGTCCCACCAGGGTAGATTATAATGCCTTTAGTAATAACTTTTAATCTAGCCCCATCATCATGTCATCATGATGATGGGGCCGGGGGGGCTGGAGCCATTGTGCGAAGGCGGGGGTAGGCCTACTGGTAGCCCCAGTCTTCCATTAACTGACAACTGACAAGGATGTCTTTGGACTGTGGGAGGTAGCCAGATTACCCAGAGGGAATCCACCCATGGACAGGGAAAACATGCAAACTCCACACTGAAAGATTGTAAATAAAAGTTAAAAAAAACCCCCTGCTAATTATCAGCATGTTAGTACTGCCTTGGCGACCATGTTGACATTTGCACAGTATGTAAACCATTGTTCAACATGAAAGTCTGAAGAACATTTTAAAATCCCAATCGGGATTTTATCTTCTAAATGTCCAGAGATGTTCTGAAACCAGTATACCTTAAGGTTTCAAACTATTAGCTTTCTGTATATATATTTATTCTTGTCCACATCAAGTGTTTATTTTTGAATAGAAGAATTTTAGAAAAGAGCAGACACACTAAGAAGGGATACAGCTGTCAGACATTCACTTTATTGTTAAAACATGTTTTGGTATATCAGCTGTTTGTCTTTTTACACATCTTTAAATTAAAGGCAAACATATACAGCTTAATCATCGAAAACCATGCAGCATCGTAAACATGAGGTCTACCGAGATAAAAAGTCATACAACTACAACATACTGGCAAGGTCTGTGATAAATAGAACTGTCATGTTGAAAATAAGAGAAAGCATTTTGCATGTTTCTCTTCTTCAGTCAGCAAAAACTTTAACTTAGTGCTTAGTACTCTGTGTTGCTGTTAAAACAAGGCTGAGAAAAATAAATAATATGATGACCTGACCCCATACACATAACAGAAATGCAGTCCTATACATGAAAGCCCCTCTATATCTGCACATCCTAAGCATAATCCCCAAGAGAAACAATGATATCCTACTGTACTGGAGAGACATTACAAGCTATTAGGCAATTATGCTTCTCATCTTTACAGCTGCAACACCATTATACTGACAGATTTACAATTAGCTCATTAAAGTGTTCATCCATGTTGACTTGACAAAAGACTACCAAGATTGTTAGGTATTGATTAGCTTGAACTGAAGAGCCAGCTATGGAGTGTAAGACAGAGTTAAAATACAGTCAACTCTCCTTTTTCTATCACAAGAAGCTGAACAAAAAAAATCACCGCCGGTCTTGCACATTCAGTCAAACACTCTGTACAAGTGAGATTCCCCCCCCAGACACACACCATACCTTACCGATCCCTCACTTCCGCAGCGAACTTATTGTTATACATCCTGCTACCTGGTTGGTTGTGGTCATATTTTACTACATCATGAGCATAAAACCTTGAAATGCTGAAGCCAGAACTCCCAGAATACTAGGCCAAGTGAGTGAAACCTGAGTATGAAAACAACAAACATACACACACACACACAAACATAATCTGCACCACCTGTCACCACCTCATGAAATCATTGCAGCTAAAAAAAAAAACGAACATGGCTGCAAACTTTAGGAAAAAGAACAAATGAATGTCTATTGATTAGATGGTAACAACAGCTCCCTGTCATCTGTGCTGGAATCCAGACAGACAAAGATTCTGTTTATTAAAGGTACACTGTTTACTTCTGCTGACAACTGTAGGTAAAGGATTACTGGATACTGTTCAGATGTGCATCTCAGACCACTTCAACTAAACCTTGTTTATGATACTTAACATTACATCTGCTCCTTTTGGCCAGTTACACATGACTCAGGTGCTGCCGTTGAGAACACCAGTGAAAATTCAAACTAAATATTCAAATGATTTTCAACATTGGGACAAAACTAAGTGTTCAATAATAAGTACAAATATTGCACCATCTCTCAACTAAAAATGTGATTCAAATATAAGATGACGCTACTTTACAATCC